CCTCCGCCTTTGTCAGGTACATTAAATAAAAATTCTGCCTTTGGGGTTCACATGTGAGAGAGGCATACCTGCCAAGAGAGGTCTGAGGCCTTACGGGAGCACAGAAGGGGAGGTGCTTAACTGCGGAAGAGTGTAGGATAGCTTCCTGTAAGGAGTTCTGCAGAGGAGTTAACAGCATGAGTGGAAGCAGAAGTAACACCACGAGTGAACTGAGGGGCATATAAGGGATCTTTCTGAAGTAGTTTAGGCAGCAGAGTTACACAGTCAGATTTGCATTAAAAAAAATGGCACTGTGTACAGTTTGGAGACGGTTCAAGGTGGTAAGAGTAGAGGTAAAAGAGACTAATTAGAAAGTTGCGGCAGTAATCCAGATAGGAAATAACAAGGGCAGCCCCAGGTGAAGATGAGGCAGAGCTGGTTTTAAGATTTTTCAGAGAGAGAATTATGATGATTTTACTGACCAGTAAGTGTTGATTATTGGTGATTGTCTGGATATAGGTTGGAGGAGAAAGGGAAGGACTTAGGAAGACCAGAAACCAGAATGATTTTGGGAGTTAGTCAGTTGTGCTGTTTACTGACATAGGAAATGAAGAATGGGGGGTGGGCTTTGGTGGGTACTTAGGCATTTGGTTTGGGACATGTTGATTTTGAAGTACTTAAGATGCCAAGAGGTGGTTGGGAATGGTGGGTATGATGCTTGGGAGAGATAATACCTGGAGATGTCAGTGTGGCAGTTACTGGCTTATACATCAGATCCGAATCTATGGGAATAAGTAAAATCATCAAGAGATAGTCTACAGTATGAGACGAGAAGGCAGCAAAGGGTAGAACTCTAAGGGATGTCAACATTTAAACAACAGTTAGGGAAAAAAGGTCCAGGGAAGGCGATTGAATACCATCCATTCCACAGATTGAGTGCTGTCAGTGGCATAGGATAAAAAGTGTGCATTTAAGCAGTGTCACCCCAGTAAAATTAATTAAAAAAAAAAGTGTACATGGCTCACCAGTCTGTCACTCCAACTGGAAATCAGTCCCGTTTTTGGTCCCACACAGAATATGGTACTAGTGTTATCTTTACATGCTAATTATATTTTAGTCTTATCTTCAGTGAGAAGTGCTTATTTGCTGTTGACCGTAACAGTGCCTTGGAGAAGAATTTTTTTTAGCAAGACCACAGAATGTCTTTCCCTGGAGGCTTTGCATTTGGAAACAAACCCAGCAGCAGTTCAGCACAGGTCAGGAGTGTACACCCAACACTGTGAGGACTGAGATGTTTTTAGTTCAGAAAATAAATCCTTCGAGGCACATCTGTCCTTGTCACAGCATCTGATGCTCCCATTTTTTTTATACTTTGGAAATATTTTGAATTTCAAACTCTTTCCTCCTCCCCCAAGGGATAAAAACTTATTTATGGAGTTGTGAGGATTTTAAGGCAGTGTTCAGTGTGTGTTTTCCTTTTGGTGAGGGAAACGAGTCATTTCAAGGCGCATTCAGATAGAAAAGAGTCCTGGGAGTGTTCTTCAGGGCTGTGGAAGGACAGAGAATTTGGTTGTTTTTTTACTACCTTTGTATGGTATTTTCTTTTTATTGTTCTGTTGAGTAATTTTTAATTTAATGTATGTCTTTTAGGAAAGCATTTGGTTTTATAAGATCCCATGCCCTGTTACTCCTGACTCCTATTGGAGTTGATAAAAGTTTCCATAGGAGAGATGGAAAAAGTCTCTGGGTCGTCTACTCTGCATAAAATTGATTGACAACCAGATTTCCCTGTATAGAACAGAGTAGACATTTCTGGTGAGATGTTGCCATTGTGGACCCATTTCCTCTTGAACTTAACCTTAGTGTCACTTATAAAATAGTGTCTACTTTTACTTTTAGGGAATTTTTTTTTTAAAAGAACTTTAAATTTTGTTTTACAGTTTACATTCAGTCTTATTTTGTATTAGTTTCAGGCATACAGCATAGTGGTTAGACAATCATGTACTTTACAAAGTGTTCCCCCCTTGATATTTCTAGTACCCACCTCGTACCACACAGTTATTACAATATTATTGACTATATTTCCTGTGCTGTGTTTTCCATCCCCATGATTGTTTTGTAACAGCCAACCTGTACATCTTAATCCCTTCACGTCTTTACTTTTTGGCAATTTGTCTGTAGCATCACTTAAGAATTGTTTGTAAGAAAACCAGAAACCTATCTAGACACGGGTTGTGTTGATTACTTACAGTGTGACTATTGTTTACTATGCTAGATGTCTTATTTCTGATTGTAGGTGAAATTGCCATCCTTGGTGGTGTAGGAGAACAGAATGAAAAACTGTGGAACTTTACCAAAAAGGCCTCACACATTCAGTTGGACAGGTAAAAAAAAGAGTTAGTGCCTTTGGGGCTTACTTTTAAGCATTTAAACTCTCTGCCTTTTTATCCTCGCCCTGTTAAAAATTCTGATTAAGGAAGATAGAGAATATAGTTTTCAAGGTTTGACTGCTCATTACCAGTATTACTCATATGAAATGGTTGTGATTGTAATCTGTGGTATAGTATCACTACAAATTTTCTTCAATTCTAATGTGTAAGAGAATCATTAAATTTTTAAAAATTTGAACATAACATTAAAACTGGGTCATATCTCAGTAAAACAGATCTTTTGGTACAAACTTGACAACTGTGATCCTACCAACTTTTTATCTCCTTGCTTATATTTACTTGGGAAGAGACTCTTTATGTAATGTCTTGCAAAGACCCCACTACCGTGAGCATTATTTACCTGAAGCTTCCGCATCCTCATAATACCTTTTAGTATGTAACTGATCTAAAATATTCCTTGTATTTTTTTTAATCCTCACCAAGGATGTTTTTATTGATTTTAATGAGAGGGAGAGAGGGGGAAAAAAAGAGAAAGAGAAACACTGATGTGAGAGAGAAACATTAATCAGTTGCCTCCCCTATGCGCCCCCTGGGGATTGAACCCGAAACTTGGGTATGTGCTCCAGCCAACTGAGCCACACTGGCCAGGGCTGTATTTTTTATTTTATTTTATTTTTTAAATAAGAGAAAGTTATTTAGAAAGTCGCAGAGGTAGAAGAAGTGAACTCTAGAATAAACAGGCCCAGGAAACAAGTTGCCAAGGCAAAAGAAGGGGCCTGGGAGTTTAGGAGAAACAGACAAGGAAAGGCCTCTGCGGGGGGTGGGGAAGGGCACAATGTGTTCCAGAGAGAGAGCTGTTCCTTGTATTTTTAACTCTCAGTTAAAAGCCTCATAAACACACAAGCTTTGTTTCCTCAGCTTACCAGAAGTGCCTTTACTGGTTGATGTGCCTTGTTTATCTGCTCAGTTGGATGATTCAATTCTTAACATAGTGAAAGACCACATTTTTAAGCATGGGACGGTAGCATCTCGCCCACCAGTCCAGATAGAAGAACTAATAGAGAAACCTGGAGGCATCATCGTGCGGTGGTGTAAGGTATGCCATTCATTCAGAATTGTAGAAGTGGTTCCACATTATGGACTTGAGATTTGGGGCCTTAAATTTTTTTTTTTAATTAACTACTTTTGAGCATTTTCTTCTCTTCATAAACAAAAATCCCTTTTGCTTTACAATTGAAATAAAGTCGCAGGGATCTTGAACTGAGGTAGCTCTTCCAGTATGAGATAAACAGCTTTGAAGGTACTTTGTAATATCCCTGAACCACTGCGTTGTTTCCCAAACGTAACTCTTAGTGAGCTGAGGATTGCTCCCATTTCTGTTTATTAGAAGAGTCAAATGATGATAGTGAATATTGGGTGTCTGGTAGTTTTCTGTTCAACACTCAACTAATATCTCTGAAATAAAATGTCTAAAAAATGGTTTCTTTGCACTCGCAGCATTGCTAAAATTTTGTGTGTTAAATTGGTTATGTAGATGAGCTACCATATTTTAGATAGAAACCGTGTTCACATGAGCCATAGTGTTTTGGCTGTCAGATACATCATTCAGAGGTGGGTGCTCAGCTTCTAGAAACTATTTTCTTAAATGGAATTTTTTTAATGAAGCCTTGGTAGAGAAGAAAGAAGTAGAAATACTTTTGTTAGTTCAAAACAAAGACTCATGCCATTTTTATTCTTTTGCCTATTGGTGGGCCTAGATTTTTTTTAAAGTATATACCTACATGTAAATTATGAGGTTTAGAGTATTAGACCTATACGGGGTAATACTAAAGTCTTTCCAGAGTGACTGTATCAATAGCAGTTCTGCGTTCCTCTCACTCTGCGTACTGACCAATACTTGGCATTGTCAGACTTTATATTTTTGCCAATGTGGTATCTCATTGTGATTTGGGATTGCATTTTCCATATTATAAATTTGGTTGACTATTTCATTATATTTTTGGCTTCTTTATTCTACAGAATGCTTATTCATGTCCTTTGCCCATTTTCCTGTTAGACGGTTTGTGTTCTATTAATTTTTAGGAGTCCTTTATATATTCTGGATATTCTCTCTTGGTTATATGAATGAGGTAGTTGTGGGATTTTTTTTATCCTTGAATTTTGAGTGTTTTGTCTTTGACATTATTGTGTGGAAAACATGCCATTTCATCAAAGAAAACAGATTTTTTAATATCAGATTGGGAGGTCTAAAACACATGGTTCAATAAAGAAAAGAAAGGAAATAATGATGGAATATTTCCTATGGCCTTCCTTAGAATAGCTTATATTGAGCATATTTAGCACATGGGCTTGTGTGCTTGGCCCAAAATGCCCCATTCAAAGTTTTTAAACAGTGATGCTGAGAGAAGTTGTTACCTGATATTGACCTAACTCAGAGCCTTTCTCCTTAGGTGGATGACGACTTTACAGCCCAAGATTACAGACTCCAGTTCCGTAAATGTACTTCAAATCACTTTGAGGATGTATATGTAGGCTCTGAAACTGAATTCATAGTCTTACACATAGACCCCAATGTTGATTACCAGTTCAGAGTCTGCGCCCGAGGAGATGGCCGACAGGAGTGGAGCCCTTGGAGCATCCCCCAGACAGGCCATTCCACGCTGGTGCCTCATGGTATGCGGTTGCCCTCTCACTCCCGAAGCTCAGCTCTGTGTAAGAACACTTGTCTTCTGTGCTAACGGCAGCACGCTGACCACCCTTTTTTCTAAGGATAAACCCTGGATTAATACAAGCAACATGGGACATGTCTTTTACTTCCTGCTCAAGTTACTTCATGTGAACTTTTCAAAATTTTCAACAGTTCTTATATTCAGAGTCCCAGATAGTGCCACACAGAATTAGTAGCATTCCCTAAAGCCACAGATTCTAAATATTGCATCAGAAGACTGCAGTATTTGACCCAAACCTTCAATGTACATCTAGGGAGAGGCTTTTTCTCAAAAGTCTCATGATTGCAATTGATCTCTTCTGTATTACTAGTTTAACAGATTTAGACTCATGTGTTAATTAGTTCTTAATCAGGTTGGAATAAGCTCAAACATGATTTTATTAGATAGGCGATAAAACTCATGGGCTCTTCCATGCCAAAATTGTATAAGATCAGACTACAAGCATTTTTGTGATTTGTAGGATTAACCGTAATATACCCTGTCATGGAAGAACCTTTTTTTTAATTGAACTTGCTCATGACCCCGAAGAGTAGTCTCTTTTACTTCTAAGTCTTATTTCATGTGTCTGTACTGAAGATAGTGCTGAAAAGATCCTAATAATTTTCAATGTCTTTGCTTTTTAAAAAGAGTGGACAGCTGGCTTTGATGGGTACAGTCTGAGCAGTCGAAGAAATATAGCACTCCGGAATGATTCGGAATCCTCGGGGGTCCTCTACTCCAGCGCTCCAACCTATTTCTGTGGGCAGACGTTAACATTCAGGCAAGTAGATACTAAAATATCTGTCTGCCATGGCTTAGGCAGTATAGCGAAGCGTACAGAGCATACATAAGCTTTGGATCAAAATCGTCCTGAGGTTAGTCCTTCTTTTATAGGCAGTGGTACTTGGGGGAGATTCTTTATTTCTCTTTGCTCCAGTTTCCTCATGTGTGTTCATAGGATGATTATGAAGATTAACTGAGGTATGTATATAAAATGATACATAGTGTGTACTCATTATGTTTAGATCTCTTTTCTTCTTGGTACAAAGAGGGAACTAGAATACCTCTCAAAAGTCAACCTGGGAAATTTAAAGGCACAGGATTTTTTTCCCCCCTTTTGAATCAGAGTGTAAACATGCCATATATGTGTGTGTGTGTGTAAAAATTCTCTGTAAAGTAAAACTGAAAACAAGTCTCTGCTACCAACAGTTTTTTCTATTTCTTTGTCCATTTCTTCCTGTATTAGAAAAATTTTCTTTTTTGTCTTATCTGAGATATACTTTATTTCTAAAAAGCTCTCTCTAGAAACCAAAGCCCAGTTTTGATTTAGAAAAGTAAAGCTTGCCTGGTGTTCACCATGCTCACAGTGTAGCAAACTCTCTTCTAAGTTTTAACTCTTGAGATAATGAGATTTTATTGAGAATGCTGTTCTGGGTTCCTCCTGTTCCCAGCCCCTTGTCGTATAGGCATGGACAGTGTCTGAGAGTGTTATCTAAGCTAATGTTGCCATGTTCTTTGCCTCCCAAGTCATCTGAACTGTCAGTATTTATCAGAATATCCTAGTTATGCTTTCTCTCTTTTTTGATACTTCCTATCACCTCTTACATTATGAAGAAAGAATGACTTAACCAGAAAAAGACAGAGAGAGAGAGAAAGAAATAAGGAGTCTAGTGCCTCAAGTCTATTTAATTATTCCCCAAGTGATCATGAGTTTTCTATAGTAACATACTCCTCTGTTTATGTTCCTTCTTTACAAAAATACTTCCATTAGTGAACCTGAGAACAGGGTACTTCTATGTAATGGTAGGGCTTCCTGAATGGATAGACTTAAGCCAGATATCTCAGATAATAATAATAATAATAATAGCAGTTAATATTTAAATAGCATTTACTATGTACCAGGTACTATTCTAAACATTTTACTTGTATTGTCCTGGGACAGGGACCAGGCCTGGAGCGGGTCTGCCTCAGGCTGGCCTGTAGTGTGTGGGTTCTTGACTTTGTGCAGGAAAGATTTCACAGTACAAATCCAGGTGATTTTGATACTATGTTTATTAAAGTTGGGGACAGTGAAACAAAGGAAGGACTTAAAGTAGAAGAACAGGAGAGAGCCTAGGTGGTTCTACTTTGGCTCCCTAGAAACATTATATGTAAGCAGTGAGCCAAGGCAGGGCTGCTGTTAGCTCACAGGGAATCAAAAGTGACAGTGACAGAAGTGAACCAAGGTGGGGCTGCTGTTAGCTCACTGGAAAGTCAGAAAAGGGGACCTCAGAGACAGGTCAGGGGGTAAGCTCAGGACAAACTGCTGCTGCCTGTTATTCCCCTGATTGCAAGTCTCATGGGGACCCTTAGAGTTTAGGAGGAAGTAAAAAGTTCATGTCCGAAAAGAGGCATGGGCGTGCTCTAGAGTGAGCCAGTGCTGGTGTTTTTTATCTTGAGGGTTTTATCTCTCTTATTCATGTGAGGATCTTAGGGGAGGGTTTCAGCAGAATATTCATCAGCTTTCCAGGTGTGTATTTAATATGCTGATGCATCAAAATGAGTGTATAGGGGAGTTTGGGATTATTCTTTGGTGCGCTTTACTGTTTTACTTTTATCTTAGGTCTCTCTGGCTCTAATCAGGTTTTTGTTATTTGTTCCCCTGACTTCATCTGTCCTTGGGTGTGGCTGGCACTAAGGGCACTAACTGGGCCTCTGTCCTCCATCTCCCTGACCAGGGTGATTTAAACTGTGTGTTCTCTGGTTAGGGAGGAGAGGTGTAAACCATTTGCCCTCAAGTGTCCTTGGCTAGGGAAGGGAAGGCCTTGCGATTCACTAGCTGTCTGGAAGTTGTTCAGATTGTTTGGCCTTGTTTAATTATTTGCCTCAGTGTCCCCATTCCACTTGCCCAGGGATTTTCCTAACTTCTTACTATCCTGCCTCAGGATTAACTCATTTGGCTCTCACAGTAACGCAGTGAGGTGAGGATTCTCAGGCATGGAGAGGTCACTTACCCACTGTCACATAACTAGTAAATGGCAGTGTTAGGGTTAGGGTTTAAATTCAGGCAGCCTGGCTCCAGAGTCTGTGATCTCAGTGACTGGTCTGTGTTGCTTCTTGGCTGTCTTCCTGAGAGTGAACGTGATTATAATTGGTGCTGAAAAACATAGCTTTCCTGCTCCTGTAGCCTTATTCCTTTCCTTTTTCCTCTTCAGTGACCTTGATCTGCAGCTGATGGTCACCTAATGCTGTCCTGCTTTTAAATCCTTCCTCTGTGAACACAGGGAACTGTCTGATAGATGGCGTACTTCGGTTTGTTTCTTAAGTCATTCAATAAATATTTATTGATTAAATTTAAATCCACTTGCAGTGCTGCCTATGGCCTGTAGGCCTCAGTAAACCATTAGTTACTTCCTGCCTCCTCCAGAGATGCCAGAATGGGCCCCACTTGGCAGGGTAGTGAACTGAAACTTAGTTAAGCTCAGTGCTATCTTAGCCAGACCTTTGCTTTTTTGCTCTTTTTTTTTCTTCTCTGACTGTGGAATAAAAATATTTTCTCTCTTTGTTTAAAAGAATGTCAGGCCCGGCCAGGTGTGGCTCAGCGGTTGAGCATCAACCTAGGATCCAGGGGATCCCGGTTCGATTCCAGGTCAGGGCACATGCCTGGTTGCAGGCTCGATCCCCAGTCAGGGGCGTGCAGGAGGCAGCCAATCAATGACTCTCTCATCATTGATGTTTCTCTCTCTTTCCCTTCCTGTCTCTGAAATCAATAAAGATATTAAAAGAAAAGAAAAGAAAAAGAATGTCAGGCATTAGCAATTAAGTCAGACATGTGAGTTGGGGGGGGCACCTCCATGTATGAGGGTGGGACCGATGGGCCTACTTGAATAAAGGTAAACTTTATTCACTTTTTGAGGGTGTTTGAGGGCCTCTTAGTTAGAAGGGAGATTGTACTCCTATAGGCACTGCCCTGTTGCTCAGCCCAGTCTATTTCCTGCTGAAGTTTCTGGAATGCTTAGCTGCTGAAGCCAAAGAAACCAGTTATTGGCTGGCCCAGTCTCTATAGCCCAGTTTCATTTGGTGCCCAGGTCTGCTAGCAACCCCTTCCTTCCAGCCTCTCCCTGATTTCCTCTCTGAACATTTCTGTTTTCCCTTTCCTTGCTTCTAAGATTGCCTGTCTTACTATTTTTAAACCATATTTTTACTTTCTCTTCTCTACTACCTCTTTTTTTTACAACAGCTTCCTTTCAAACAGCCTTCCTTAATCCTAATAGCCAAGGAGGTTATTTCTTCCTTTTATAGATAAAGAAATAAAGGCACAGAGAGACTAAATGACTTGTCAGTATTCAAATCCTGGCCATCTAGTCCCAAAGTCTGGGTTCTTAACCACTGTGCTACCCTGCCTCTCACAAGTAACATGAGGTGGTAAATCAAAGGGCAGTAAGCTATTTTTTATTAATAACTTTTTCCTTCAAAGAACACAAAAAATTAATGTTCCATTTTTCTATTGTGTAACAAACCACCCCAAAACTTAGAGGCTTAAAACAATAATAGTCATCTATTTTGCTCAGGAAACTATAATCTGCAGAGCTTGGCAAATACAGTCATTTCTGCTTATATGGTGATAGCTAGGGTTGTTTGACTAGGGATGATGGATCTGTTTCCGAGGTGGCTCGCTCATGTGGCTGGCAAACTGATTCTGGTTCTTGGTGCCTCTCCATGTGGGCCTCCAGGGGCTGCTTGGGCTTCCCTACAGCATGGTGGCTGGGTTCCAAGAATGAGCATCTGAAGAGATAGGACGTGGAAACTGTTAGTTCTAGAAATGAATAGTGTCAATCTACCACATTCTGTTGTTCAACCAGTCACAGAATCCGGATCCCAGGGGAGGGACATGGACCTCACTTCTTGGTGGGGGAAGCATCAAAGAATTTGGGGGCTTTATCTTAGAAATGCCATGGTTGATAACTATTAGAAAGAGGTCACTTGGGACTTGTGAATTTGATTTAATGCTTGCCTTTGTTAAGCTTTAGCATGATCTTTTCTGAATGAAATTAAGTTTGAGGAGATCTTTCTTTTTTTGTACAAGACTGGTCTCTGGCATTACTATGTGTATTTTTAATACTAATTGTTAGCTCCTCATATTTAAAAAAAAAATTCATTCTAATTTAATTTTTCCTGGAAAATCCCAACAGGGCATAGTCTTTACCAGAATTAAGAAGTTAATTTGTTTTCAACTAGGATCTTTGAAATCTTGTCAGTTCCTCCTCATTGAGACAGATGCACTGTCCTAGGGAGAGTACAACTTTCCTGGGGTTTTATATTTTGCCAAAGTGATACACTAGAAATGTGGTATTTGTCCTTTCAGCTTGAAGCTTGGCTCTTATTACAGGTGTAGGGAGTGTCAGAAGAGTTTTCCCCACAATCTCTTTTACTCACTTGGGTGAGATAAGGCGGCTGGTTTCCCAAGTAGATCTCCTTTAGGATTCTGTACCCTAGCTTTTAGTTTGTAGAGGGAGGGTTATGTGAAATCATGAAGGCATATCTGCTTTGGGGAGTTCACATGTAACAGCTGTTCCTCCCAGATAATCTAACGACTGTTTTTTAAAGATTTTATTTTTAAAGTACAGCTGACATTCAATATTATTTTGTATTAGTTTCAAGTGTACAGCATAGTGGTTAGACAATCATATACTTTACAGAATGATCCCGCCAATATTTCTCAAGTACCCACCTGGCCCCATCCATAATTATTACAGTACTATTGACTGTATTCTCTGTGCTGTACTTCACATCCCTGTGACTATTTTGTAACTATAAAGACTATTTCTTAGACTTTTTCCTGTCCGTATTCTTTCTGTCTAAAACTACTTTTCTAAAATGTAAGGGCAGTGCTGATCAACTCTAGTCTTTTTAAAAAATATATATATATGTTATTGATTTCAGAGAGAGGAAGGGAGAGGGAGAGAGAGAAACATCAATGATGAGAGAGTCATTGATCGGCTGCCTCCTGCACGTCCCCTTCTGGAGATCGAGCCCGCAACCCAGGCATGTGCCCTGATGGAGAATCGAACCGGGATCCCCTGGATCCTAGGTTGATGCTCAACTGCTGAGCCATGCCCGGGCAGGCTAGTCAGCCTATTTTTAATCTTGTTTTTTCTTTTGTGCCTCAGTTTCTTCATGTGTAAAATAGATATGATAGTAACAACACCTACCTCATGGGTGTTTCTGTGAATTGAATGAGGTGATTTATAGATAAATACAAAACTTTTAGAACAGTTCCTGGAACTTAGGAAGTGCTAGATGATTGTTACCTATAAAGATCAGTTGTGATGAGATTATTCTTTTTAAGTTTAATAACTGGTACAGACCATGTTAAAAAAAAAAGTTGGAATGATCTTTCTCCCTCATTTACAGAGTTGAAACTGTGGGCCAGCCAGACAGAAGGGACAGTATAGGAGTGTGTGCAGAAAGACAGAATGGATATGACTCTCTGCAGCGGGACCAGGCGGTGTGCATTAGCACAAACGGTAAGAGACAAGTAACTGTCATTCCTTTGAAATATATGAACTATTCCAGTAAGATACGAATCTGTCCCAATATCACACATTTATAGCAGGAGATGAGAAGATAGAGGTCTTAATGACATACCAAATGACTGCTGTGTAGCAGGCACTGTTCTGTACCCTTTATAAATAATAAATTATTTCATCCTTAACTTTTTGAAGTGGGGAGTAATATTAAATGTATTTTATAGATGATGAAGACTGAGCCACTGAGAGGTTAAATGACTGAGGTGGGTGGGCTGGGACTGGCCCCAGGGAGTCTGCCTCTGCATTCTGCGTGGGCCATCTACATTCAACACAGGTTAGGGATCGAGGGAGAGTTGACTTAATTTGTTATATATCTCTAGTGTTGTTTGGTCCCTTACCTCACAGCAATCACACTTTGAAAAATCACCACCAAGACATGTTAATATTTTGTGGTGTGGGTCAAGCAGTAGGTAGAACAAGAGTCTTGTTTGTTCCTTGTGAAACAATCTTGGTATTCCACAGGATATAATTTTATAATGGAGTCAAGTTTCTTTTGATGTCATCCATGTGGGAAATTCACAGTCTCTGTTCTGAAAGAGTAGAACCCAAGACCATAATTCTAAAATGTAATTAAAGTTTTCACTTTTCCTTTCTGCCCTGGGGATGAGCATTAGTTATCTTTGACAAGTTGGCATTCCAAAAGTTTTCTGTATTTGAATTAGGAAATTAGCTGTGTTATCAATAATCTAGACTCTATTTCAGTTCTTACTTATTGCTCACATGTAAATGACTTTTTACCTTAACATTTTAGGTGCAGTTTTTGTAAATGGGAAAGAAATGACTAATCAGTTGCCCGCCGTTACATCTGGGTCCACTGTCACATTTGACATGGAAGCTGTGACTCTAGGATCCACCAATAATAACGAAGGCGGAAACTTCAAGCTTCGAGTAACTATTAGCTCAAATAACAGAGAAGTTGTTTTTGATTGGGTACTTGATCAATCTTGTGGTTCTCTTTACTTTGGATGCTCATTTTTCTATCCTGGATGGAAAGTGTTGGTGTTCTAGATTTTTGGATGGTTGGCTTTGGTTTGCAGGGTTTTAATGTAGCTGTCCTCAGCCCAATTTAGTTGTAATTGATTTAAAAAACCTGCTAGATTCATCTCTCAGTTAAGCCGTTTGTAATGGAAATTGTTTACTGGATTTAGTTTGGAATATTATCAAAAAGAAACTTGAGTATTATGGACAAAACCATAATGCAGTCATTTTTATTTTTCAGTGTTAATTAAAATATCACACCTCAATAAAAATCAAATTGGCTTTTAAAATATGAGGAGATACAGAAAGCCCTGTACCCTTTCACTGTACTTTTTATTTTTTTATAATCTTTGTGGTTGTTTTTTTTTTTGTTTTTTTTTTTTAAACATATCTTTATTGATTTCAGAGAGGGGAAAGGAGGGGGAGAGAGAGAGATAGAAACATCAATGATGAGAGAGTCATTGATCAGCTGCCTAGCCCGCAACCCAGGCATGTGTCCCGACCAGGAATCGAACCCCGATCTCCTGGATCCTAGATTGATGCTCAACCACTGAGCCACACCCAGCCAGGCCACTGTACTTTTTAAAATTGGTAATTAGAACAGAAAAACTTAATGTAACATTCTTTTATTAAATCTCCATCTTTTAAGGGTTCAGGTTCATGCAAGATTTTAGTACAAAACAATAGGAATAGTCCAGATAGAAGCCCGAGTCTGTAATATATATTCACCTGTATGCTCTCCACACTCAGGCATTTGTAAGCAGTATTGAATTTTATCTCGTGTTCAGTGTTCGTCGAGTCCCCCAAACATGCTAATTTTTGCATTTTTTTGTAATTACTGAGCAAATGTTACAGTAGGCAATGTATTTTCTTTTGTTCCTTTCTTACAGTTTGATTCATGATGGGCTAGAGGAGTTTTACAGGGTAAAGCTACTTGGGGAAGTAGTATGCACAGCAGTGTTAGCCGTGTCCTGTGTATGGAACATGTACATGTACATATCCAGCCTCAATGATAAGCGTGTGACTATTTTTAGGGTATGAGCTGCAGTCCAGTTTAATGTCAGTTTATAAATGGTCTTATAGTGGACCAAACAAATATAGGGTAAATACTTGACCTATTTTTGAAAACTTAAATTTGTGTAAAATATTTATTTGAAGTACTTACTTAGTATGTAAAAATGGTTATCTTAACTTGCTATATACCAGCTTACAGATTTTTTTTAATGTGAATTTTTTTTCTTTTCATTTTTAACAATAGAAAAGCAAGTTTGGTATTTTTGTAAGATAATTTATTTGGGGATCCAGGTTCCCTGTTAGACAATCATGACCTTTTCCCCTTGCCTTTTTATATATAAGTAAGTCATCTTTCACTGAAGATGTGCTAGAATGTAGATGCCTCATCCAGCTTTCTGAAAAAAATAAAAACCTAAAAGTTAAATGTGTGTATTTTTTTCTTCCATGATAGTTGATGAATCCAGTTTTAACCTTTACTTTTAAAAGTAAAAGGGTTTCTTGTGGCTCCAGTCAGATATCATTGGCACTTGTGAAAAGTTACTTTTAAATTCTGTGTATAAGTTTACTTATATTTCTCTGACACCGAGCTTGGTGCCTGACACATAACACGTGCACAATGAATGCTTCATTGAATGAATATAAATGAATTATTTTCTCTAGAATGTCATCTTATTGCTTTCATTTAGCAACTATTTATTGAACATCTTTACTTCTTACCCTCCATTGGAGAATGGCATCTTAAATATATATCTATAGAATCTGCTTGTTTATAGAAGCAACTTAAACCTAACTTAATTTTAGGCAGGTGGGGATTTTAATATTTTGAACTCTGAAACTAATTTAAATATTGGGATCAGGCTTTTAGTGTCAAGTCTAAGAACTCTGTCTAGTTGTAGATCCCAAAGATTTTTCTCCTGTGTTTTTCCCTAAAAGTATTACAGTTTAACATTTTACATTTAAGTCTGTGATCCATTTTGATATAATTTTTTTTTTGGATATAATTTTTGTATAAGATGTGAGACTTAGGTTAAAGGTCATTTTGGAATATCTGTTTATGTAGATGTCTAATTGCTCCAGCACCATTCGTTGCAAAGGCTATCTTTCATCCATTGAATGGCTTTAGTACCTTTGTCAACAATCAGTTGGGCATACTTGTGTGGGTCTATCCCTCTGCCAGTACCACACAGTACGATTACCAAACTATATAATGTTTTAAAGTCAGGTAGACTGAGTCCTCTCTAATTCATCTTTTTCCAGGTTGTTTTAGCTATTCCAGTTTCATTGTCTTCCCATGCAGATTTTAGAGTAATCTTTACAAAAAATCTTGATAGAAAATTGTGTTAAACCTGTATATCAATTTGTGAAGAGTTGATATCTTTACTATGTTGAGTTTTCTAATTCATGAACACAGTATACTCCTCCTATTTAGATGTTTCATTTCTTTAAATCAGCATTTTGTAGTTTCCAACATACAAGTTCTACATATATTGTTACATTGACACCTAAGGTTTTTTTAGTGATTATATATGGCATTGTATTTTTAACTTTGGTTTCCACATGCTAATTCCTAATACATAGAATTGATCTTTATATGTTTATCTTGTATCTTGCCAAATTGATAAGCTCAGCCCTCTTCTCCCTCTTGATATATCCTATTTGATCCAAGGATTTTCTAGAAATGTTTTTAGTTTCTGAGTGTGTTTGGAGATTTTCCTGTTATCTTTCTGTCAACTTCTAGCTTGATTATATTGTGGTTTTAGAACATACTCTGTAAGATTTCAGTGTTTTTTTAAAATATATTTTTATTGATTTCAGAGAGAGGAAGGGAGAGGGAGAGAAGGAAACATCAATGATGAGAGAGAGTCATTCATCAGCTGCCTCCTGCACGCCCCCTGCAGAATTGAGCCTCGATCTCCTGGATCAAGGTTGATGCTCAACCTTTGAACCACACTGGCGGAGCTGGTTTCAATTCTTTTAAATCTGTGAGGTTTCTGTTGTGCCCCAGGATATGGCCAATCTTGGTGTGTTCTGTGGGTACTTGAGAAGACAGCATTCTGCTGTTAGTGGGTGGAATGTTGTATAAATGCAGATTAGAATCCTGTGGCTGACGTCGAGTTCTACTCCTTCCTTGTTTTGCCTAGTTGCCCTGTCAGGTCTTGAGAGGGGGATGTGGAAGTCTCCAATTGTAATGGTGGATTTGTCTCTTTTTCCCTTCGTTCTGTCAGTTTTTGATTCAATTGTTGCAGCTCTTTTGTTTGATGAGTACACACTTAGCATTTCTGTATGTTCTTGGTGGATTGCCCATTTTATTATAATGTCCCTCTTTGTCTCTGGCAATTTACTTGGCTTCTAAGTATAGTTTATCTAATATTAATATAGCCTCTCCTGCTTTCTTATGATTAATGTTTGCATGATACATATTTTTCTATCCTTTTACTTTCAACTTGTCTATATCATTATATTTGGAGTTAGTTTCTTATAGACATCATATAGTTGGGTCATGGTTTTATTGTTTTGGTTTTTTTTGTTTACTCTGTTAGTCTCTGTTTTATTTGGTCTGTTTAGACTGTTTACATATAATGTTGTTATTGATATGTTAGGACTTAAGTCTGCCATTTTTGTTTTCTGTTCTCTCTGGGTTTCATTTCTCTGCTTTCCTTTTTATGCATTCTCATAGGTTACTTGAACATATTTTAGAATTTCATTTTGACTTATTTATAATGTTTTTGAGAGTCTCTCTTTAATAGTTCTAGTTATTAATATATATGTATTACATACATATGTACATAATTTCCAATATATATACATTAGTATATCTCTTATATATTACATATATGTTGCATATGTATATAACATATCCATTATCTATCTATATCTTTTCAGTGTATTGATGTCATTATTTTACCAGTTCAAGTGAAATATAGAATCCTTACCTTTCTTTATTCTTCCCCCATTTACAATGTAATTAAAAATTTTTTTTCTCAACATATTTTAAGAACTACATCAGACAATGTTATAACTTGCTTTAACCATAACATAATTTTAAAAAACCACAGATGAAAAATGTGTTGTATTTACCTATATTCTCTTTACCATGTTATTTCTTTCTTCATGGTGTTCCATTATTTCTTGTATCATTTCCTTTCTGTTTAGAGAACTTCCGTTAGCCATTCTTTTAGGATGTTTGCTGGTGTAAAATACTCTGTTTTCTTTCATCTGAGAATGTCCTGACTTCTTCATTCCTGAAGGATATTTTCACTGAGTATAGGATTCTGGGCTGACAATTCTTTTCTTTCAGGACTTGAAAAATATTATGCTACTTCCCATGGTTTCTGATAAAAAAAAAATCTCATTCTAATTGTTTTTCCCTGTAGATAAAGTGTCTTTTTTCTCTGGTTGCTTTCACTATATATGTTTTTTGTCTTTAGTTTTTAGAAGTTTAATGATGTTATATCTTTGCATGGATTTCTTATTTTCTTTAGCTTCTTGAATTTTTAGTTTGTCTCTGGCCAAATTTGGAAAGATTACAGCTATTTTTTCAAGTCCTACCCTTTTTTCCTTCTCCTTCTGGAACTCCAGTGACATAAAGTTTACATCTTTTGTTTAGTCCCATTGATTCCTGAGGTTCTGTTTAAATCTGTTTTCTCTGAGTTGTTCACATCAGGTTTTTCTGTTGGTCTTACAGTTCACTGGTTCTTTCCTCTGTCATCTCCCTCCATTCTACTGTTGGGCCCATCTATGAGCTTTTTGTCATTTTGGTTATTTTATTTTTCAGTTCTAAAATGTCCATGTGGCTCTTCTTTGTATCTCCGATTTCTTTGCTAAGATTTTCTATATTCTTAGCTTGAGGCTATTCATTTCCTCATTTTTCAAGTGTATTCATAATTGCTTACTGAAACATTTTATCGTGGTGGTTGTGATGGTTGGTCGTATGTGTTTACTTGACTGGGCTAGGGGATGTCCAGGTAGGTAGGTAAACTTTTCTGGGTGTCTCTCAGGATGTTTCTGGAGAGATTAGCATTTGAATTGATAGACTGAAGAAAGCAGTGGGTGAGCATGGTCGTCTCTTGGCCTGAATAGAACAAAAGGACAGAAGGTTGAATTCACTCTCTGCCTGACTGAGCTGGGACACGGGTCTTCTGCCTTCAGCACTCCTGGTTTTAGGGCTTCGGATCTGGACTAGATTCCACACCATTGGCTTTCAGGCCATTGACACCACTGGCTCTCCCGAGTTCCCACCTTGCAGGCTGGTTGTGGGACTTCTGAGCCTCGATAATCTTGTATTGGTTCTGTTTTTCTGAAGAAAACCAATACAGCTGCTTTAAAAGATATACTTTCATTGATTTTAGAGAGGAAGAGGGACAGAGATAGAAGCATCAATGAGAGAGAAACATCGGCTGCCTCCTGTGTTCCTGATCTTCCTTTTTTCTAGTAACTTTTATCTTTGGTCTGTTTTCTCTCTTCCTTCTACAGTTATGCCCAACCTTCCCATTCTCTCCCCCCAAAATCCTTCGTTTCCCTCTTGCTGTGGCCCCAGTTTTCACATACTGTGATAAATTTCTCTAGCTCATTTTCCATTTAATAAACTGATTAAACCTGTTCATCACTTGCCCACCTTGAAGGTGCCGTTTAATTCCCTTTCTTACGGGCTGCTGCCTTCTTGAAACGTCTGCGCTACACTGCAGTGCCATTCGACAGTTCCTCTTTGGGCACGCACTTCCCGACGGTGCTCTAGGAGTTGGCTGTTCTATCTGGACTGTTGCAGTAGCATTCTACCCGTTCTCCCTCCGGAGATCCTCCACCCCGATTCTCAGCGCTGTGGCTCCCCTAGGTAGAAACTCGCTCGTCGTACCTGTGCAGTACGTCTCTAAATGCTTCCTACTGTCTGCAATCCAGACCTTCCGCATGGCACGTAAAGCCCTCATCATGCCACCAAATATCCGCGCACCAGGAAGACCATTGGGCAGGACTAAAGTCAGTGCGACGGACTTAGCAGTCGACAGCAGGAACCAAGCTTAGAAGAAACACTGAGCTTTGGGAAACGGAGCCCTCAGCTGAAGACGCAGAAACGAGTGCAGGCAAAACGCTGTTACCAGCAAGGAAGGCGAGAATAGCTGAACTGCCAAGCCTCCCGCAGAGTTCTCCCCAGCTCTTCTAGAGACCTCGTGGAATGTAGTATGTAACTTCATTAGACAGTATCACTTTAATTTATAGCTATTGTCTGTATCCCTCTCTAGCCTATGGTTTTTGAAAGCCAAGATAAATTTTTTCATTAAAAAGGAAACGTAAAAAAAATCCACAACCAAAGATGGATAGCTATTGATACTGACATTACTTTGTACTATAAGTTTAAAAATACATTTAGATATTACCATAAATAACATATTTAGGTTGAAACTGATGTTACTAAAACTGAAAGCAGGTTTCACATTAATTTTCTTTTTTGGTTTAAACAGACATTTATTTCTCCCAGTTTGGAAGCTGGGAAGCCTTTCTTAATTTCTTACTAGTTCTGATTGACCAGTGTACTTCTGGATCCCTACTATCCTAAACAAGCCCAAGTTTTAGCGCACACATTAACAATGCATAAAATAAGACAGAATACAACTTTTATATTATTGAACTTTATGTACAAAATCATTTGATTTCAAATAAACATTTAATGTAAAAACAAACATTCTTTTAAACTGATTTTTTTTTACATCTACTGTACCATTCAAATCCTTTATCATCTTACATGATTTCCTCAAAATCTCTTCAAGGGTACATATAGAAAAACCTTTTTTTTATAAATAGAAACAAAGGGATTTTTTCAGCTTTTATAAGATGACATAAAAAGTTTACTCAACAGAAGTAATTTCATTACTATTTGGGGGAGGGAATCACCAACTTTTTGTGCAAACAATGCTAGCCTTCTTTTAAGCATTAAGAGCATAACTGCTTAAGAAATGACATAAGCAATAATTCTACACCTACATCTCCCCTAAAATAATCTATTTTTTTACATATGTGCACAGCTTTAGCAAATTAAAGCTGGAGAGAAATGCTCAAGTTCTGCTACCCATAGTCATGACCAGAGTTTACTGTAACTTATCATTTGGCGAGCTTACCAATCAAGGAGTCTGTAATGAAAGCTGCAGTTTCCCTCTTTCCTATTTTTTTAACACAAAAATTAATAACTAAGAATTTAATACTGGATGACAAAGTACATCCACACTATCAGTTAAATAGCCTCACAGTTAAACACATCTTAAAGACCAATCAAATCAATATTTACATTTTATAAATTTCTGAAGACACCATTAGAAAGCTTATATATCCCTTCATTAAACAAAATAGGGAACTGCATCTGATGGTGGTGGAATGAAATTTAAAAATTAAAAATACCTGTATTTACAGCAGCATTGTTCCTTTATAAATAAAGAATATGAAAATGAATTATCTTTAAGGATAATAAAAAATTGAGGTGATGTTACTCAACCACAGTGCTTGAAGTTGGAATAAAAATCTATTGGTGCTTGTTAATGTGCCAGTAGTGAAACCACTTTCTGTTGGAGAAAATCCAACTGCAAATATGTGCATAAAACACATGTAACACAGGGCAAAATTGCTCAAAACAATTCAAGTCAGCTTATCTGTACTGGATATTCTAATTGTGAAACACAAAGACATCCTTGCAAAGAAAAAATGTTACATTTTCTGGTTCATAGAACATTTCTTCCCTCGAAAGTGGCATCTTCAAAATCTCAAATTTGTTTTTCCCTTGGTTCCTAATAAAAAGATGTGGACAGTAATTTTCCATGTGTTTACCTAACTGGGGGGGGGATGGGAGGACCCAAACAGCCAAACATTCAAGTTTAAAAAAATATACTGGGTGAGCAATGCACTAAAACTATCCACATAAACAAATGGTAAGTAACCTTATAAACCAACATAACAATTCACTGTCAAATGTGAAAAATTAACATCTTCTCAAACAGGCATAAGATGAAGAAGTGCTATTTTTAAACTGTAAAATGAACATATGCAATGGAAATATCTTGTGTTGTAATTTCTCATTTTAAATTGATTAATGATTTCAAAATCAAGGATCAAGGTTTGATTGCAAATGGTAATGCAACATAACTTCACAAAATCCAATTTTTAAAAAAGGGAATCACATTCCAATTTTCCCTCCCCAAGAAAATGTCTCACAAAGTAGAAAAACAGCCAGTCACAAATGCAAAAAACATTATAATTTAAATATATGAAATAATCTATATTATCAATTTATTTCATAAGACAATTCTTGAAGTTAAAAATACTTTCTTTGAAGTATTGCTTTTCATGCTCAAACGAGAATGCTTTAATGACATCAACAGAGCCGACAGACATGTAATGCTGCATAATGAAGTGGAACCCGATACAAATAGCCTTGTTGAAACCATTTACTTCATCTTAACAGTGCCTGTTTGGAATCTGGTTAAAAAACAGAAAACTCTTCCTAGATGCTGAACTCCCTAGAACGCAATTTCAGTGTTTGTCCACAACACAGGGTTAGGCCTTTTCTTCTCAGAGTTTTTGCTTTTTGCTCTGTTTTGAAACCCCTGAGACACCATCTGTTTCTGAAGCTTTCTCTTTTGAGTTAATTTCACTAAACCCATTTGCTGTCCCATTTTGTTCTTCAGTGATTTCTTCATTTGCAGGTGAAGCAGATTCTCCTTTTTCTAATTTTTGCTGCATTTCACGGAGCTTGGTAACAGCTTTATCTATTGACATTATGCTAATAAGATTAAAGTCATGCATGCTGACTAGATGAAGCATGAAGTTTCGACATAAATTCTTCTTAATTATTTTCTGTCCATAGTTTTCTACAAACAGCATACAGGCGTGATTCATTTGATTGTCAGCAATAAACCTATTTAATAAAAATAACACAAAACATCAATAGCAATACAAAGCATTTTTGTCAAATGGAACAATGATAACCATTACAGAACATGTAAGACTATCCAAATTTATTAAGTGATGATTTAGCAGAAGTAAAACTATAGTGAATGTGAGATTCAATAACTTGAATAAGCTTACCACTTAAAAAATTTAAAGATGTGATTTAACCAGTTAATAGGTGTCATTTGTTTTTCCTAATTATATACGGCAGTATTAAAAATATAAAATATTTCCTTTAGCCAGCACCACTTTCATTAACTGTATTCACACTATCTCCTTTATTTTCTCCCTTGATTTTGACCTACTTTCCTATTTCAGAAGCAATGTTTCTTTAGATTTTCAGTTCACAGACCTCTAAAAAAATGAAGGTGTCACGAGAAATAACAAATGTGGCCTATGTGATGGTGCTGGTGGAAAGTGAGCTGGGGGCATACACAATGAAAAAAATTTGAGAAACCAAATAGGAAAATGGCTACTCAGTTATCCACTGGGACTGAGAGTCCAACAGAGTCCATAAGGCCTGCCTGAAGATGTTTGCTCAACTACCTGCCTCTGTATAATGCCAGTATACAATGAACCACAAGAGTTGTGCTAACACAGATCAAAGAATTAAAATAGAACTCCAAGTAATGTGACTAAAACTCTGTCTTGAAACTGGCACTGTCAAGACAAAAGGAAAAATGTTTAACCCAAACCTCTGCATACATACTTTCTCCTTAGTGCCCCTAGGTTAAGGACCAGGCAAACATTTTCTGTAAAAAGCTAGACAGTAAATATTTAAGGCTATGCAAGCCATATGTGATCTGCCATCTCCCTCTTTTTCCTTTTTTATTGCCCAGTAAACACGTGAAGACTATTCTTAGATGAAGGCAGTACACATGCTATAGCCCATGCAACCAGGCATCTTATGCACCAACAACTCTTCACTCCCCAAGAGTAAAGAAATAGAAGTGTTTCCTCACATTTACTTCACTTATATATAAATGAAAAAACTTTGGATACTTGTGCTATAGAAGAAAACCTTAAATGAGGATCTAATAATAATGAAGGCAGAGAAGAAAATGTGTATTGACAGGAAAATAGTTCACACAGAGGAGGCAGATCTGCCGGAAAAACAATGCTTTGGGAACATACCTGTAGCCACAAAGGCATGAGAAATAAGCATTGTTTTACCTTGCCTCCTATGAAATAGTAATAAATTAGAAAAGCTACTTATATTTTATTCTGAATAATTACGCAATTTTTAAAAACTGTGGTAATAACTGTGATAAGTAGTTTTCAGGATTTCCAGGAATATAGCACACGGCATTTAATTTTTGTATTCCCTGGCAATAAAAGGAATAAAAATTGGGTCATTAAAAAAGACATATTAAAAATAAAAATCTGTTAAGAGCTAGCACCTTCCTTACACAGTCTCTGAGCATCACCATTTTTCTCTATTATGCAATTATAATACTTTGGATTAGGATAAGATTTAGGACACATTATATCTAAATTAATGGAATTTTACACAGGATTCTAACACACGAAGATTTATAGAATGTGAAGCACCGAAAAGAATATAAAGAAAATGGAATATTTAAATTTAGAAATACCCTACCCATGCTTCATGACATGGAGATTCCATAGTTTCATAACTTCTTTCTCTCCTTCATTAACATCAGAAAATTCCTCAATTTGCTAAAAATAAAAAAATTTTTAAAAAGAAAAAGAAAAACACCTATTAAATGCAGAGTAAATATAATTGGTATTTCTAAGAAAAAACTGAGAATGTTAAAAACAGATTTTTTTTATAACTAAAAATACCACAACTTATTTATACAGCAAAGTGGCAAAATTTCTTAAAAACAACTTCTTTTTAAGCAGTAATTTAAAAAAGGAATTCCTAAGTTACAAACTAGTTATGTATAAATAAAATGAACACACTATAAAATCACAAGAAGAAAATCTGTATTTCCTTTACCTGGTAACTGTTTAAATGAGACAATTATAAAATGTGGATTCCTGAATTCCTTAACTTAGAAAAAGTTCCTTTACTAAGTCAAAAGTTTAATACATATTATTAAACAATTTATAGTTTTCAAACAAAATAGATTTCAAACAAAAATCATTTAATCATAAAATTCTAAAATCAGTCAATAATGGTAATAGTAATAATTACTGTAATGGTTTTTTCTCTTAGCCATTCAGGATCTTTTTCATCTTCACTATCTACTTCCATTTCTTGTGGACGGAGAGGTAAACAAGTATCACTATGGAAATATAGACGATTGTGTCCGCTACTGTATGTACGTTGCTGTTCTACTTCTCCATCTTCGGACTCAAGAAATTCAGACATGCTTGCTTTTGTTCGTTTTGGCCTAATGAAAGAAAATGTTGATATTAAGTGACAGGGTTAGGGTTCTTTGTATTTTGCATCACCCAAATAGATTACATTCCTTTCTTACAGGTTTGTACTTAGATCTACTAGGAAAATTCATTTTTTTAAAAATATATCTTTATTGATTTCAGAGAGAGGAAGGGAGAGGGAAAGAGCTGAAACATCAATGATGAGAGAGTAGTCATTGACCGGCCACCTCCTGCATGCCCCCAACTGGGGTTCGGGCCCACAACCCGGGCACGTGCCCTGACCAGGAAGCGAACCGTGACTCCCTGGATCCCAGGTCGATGCTCGACCACTGAACCACGCCTGGCCAGGCTAAACGAATTCTTTAATCACCCCAACCACTGCAGCAGTAGTGACATT